GGCCGCGCTGGCCGGCTGTGCGGCACGAGGCGCTCGCTCTCAGCTGAGCCTCCCCGTCATCCGGTGCTGCTGCCGCCCGTGCTGGGAGGGAAGATCAGGCAGCAAGGATGACCCAGCCCAGCACCCTCAAAGGATCAACAGATCCCCCCACTTTCCCTTTTTCCACATGTTTTTGGTGGTCCTGTTCCCCCACGGGGAGGTAAAATGACTGATAAGCTCCCAGAAAGTGCCCCAGTTGTAAGGGCTGGCAGCCTTGAATTGCAAGGCCGTGCATATGGGTGGCTGCGTGGGAGGGTGGATGTCCTATCCTCATCCTCAGACAAAATATATAAATAATAACCAGCCCAGCTGGCTCATCCCAGTGCCAACTGCTGGTGGGTGGCTCTACCCTCTCGTACAGCTCGGTGCTTACAGGCAGGCTGCCGGCCCCTTCCCGCAGCCCAAACCGGAGGGAGGGTTGACCTGCAGGGAGGACAGGCGAGAGCCGCGTCGGTGCGGAGCCACCAGCTCCTCCCGAGGGAGCCCGGTACCTCTGAAGGCGCCGGGAGGGGAGGTGCCGCAGCGTGCGCGCTGAACGCGACCCGTGCCGCTGCCTGGCCGTGCTCAGCGAGGGCCAGGACCCTGGGCTATTAATGTGGGCCTGGGTATTTCCTTCATGTAAGCTGGAGCGAGCTCACATGAACTCAAGTCCCAGTGGAAGGGGGCATTTGGTTCTGCTTATCCCAGGAAATTGCCCAGAAGGAGAGATTTGAGGAGAAAAATGAAGAAATGTGGGTGTGGGATTTGCCCAAAGGATACCTCCAGCTATCGAGCTGCCCACCCTCCCAAATCCAGCCCTGTGCTGTTGCCTGGCTGCTGGATTTCCAAAGGAAGCGGTGCCCTTCCAGTTGCTCAGCGTGTTTAATCCCGCACTGAAGGAAGCTTTAGTCCAAACGCTGTAGGAAGCAGCGGTGACAAACTGTGGGATTAGGCAAACCCATAGGCGTTGTCCGGCCCCGGTTTGTTCTCTTGGGCTCTTCAGTGCAGCCCCGAGCCTCCAGGCGGTGTTTGTGAACAGCGCACTGCCACCAGCAATCCACCAGCAAAGCCGTAATCTCTTTAATGCTTGTAATTATTCCTTACCTAATCTGATTTTTAAAAAAGTAATGCTCATTAAAGTCCAGCCTGTTCAGCACTGTGGAGGAGGAATTAGCTGGAGTGGAAACCTGAGGGGATGGGTGTCCTGTGCCAGCAGAGACTCCTCGGGGGACGCTGCCGTGCTGCTGGCGTTGTCCTCGAGGCTGGGGACTGTTTGAGCGTTCATGGCCTCCGAAAGATGCTTACCTCTAACTGATCTTATCCTTGCTTAATCTTTTCTTTTTTTCCCCGCTCTGCTGCTTTTTTGTGTTCTCAGAGGAAGGAGGAATGCGCGAACAAGAAATCAGGTATTTACTGGAGGCCTGCCTACGAGACAGAGTAAATTAATAACCAGAGAGATGCAACTGTACTCTGCTGGAATGAACCACCAAAGCGAGCCCCTAAGGAAAACAACCATCCACTCAGGCAGTCAGGCACGGCTCCCGCCCGCACC